TGTAGTTAGAATGAAATAGAAAAGTTTGCCGATCAAATTTAACTTTACTTCAGACCTTGTTGGCCAGGAGGGAACTGGTACTTGGCAAAATTAGGACGGGTATATGTATATATATATATATATATATATATATATATATATATACCAATGCACTTTTTCTCCTGGAGTCCTGTCTTTTTTCTCCTCTCGTTCCTAATTTAAATGCAGCAGGTCCTGTAATCCTGCTCTAATGTCTCGGTTCTTTCGCCGCAGGCTCCTCACCACACACCACACACTGATTACTGTGTAAGAGAGAGACATCGTTTATCCTCCGACCCAGAACTGTGAACATCTTCCATTTCGGAAAAAAAAAACCTCACGCACAGTTCTCATTATCTTCTCCTTTCCTTTTTAGGTCACGCGATAGCGAGAACACGGCTGCCCCCATGGCTCCAGGAGACCTAAGACTCTTGAACATGGATTTCTATTCTGGGAAAAGTAGCCCGATTACTCTGGATATCACCCAGACTGGGAATATAGCACACGATGGATGGATGGATGGATGGATATACCATGTTATAAACTCACAGTGATGAAAAGACACGATGATGGACCACATCTATTTATATAAAAACATAAATCTATATAAATATCCAGTGGTGGAGGATGTGGGCGGAGACTTCTCTAACCTAAACTCTTGAACTCCTACAGGAACGTAGCAGAGTTGCTTTTTTTTGGGGACTATATGGATGACCTTGGCGTCCATATGTGTGTGTGTATATGCGTGTGTGCGTGTGTGTATAAATGCATATAGCCGTGTGTTTGTGCATGTATATATGTGCAGACATGCACTTGTGTGCATATATATGTGCTTGTGTGTGTGTGTGTTTGTGAGCAAGCCAAGAAAATCTCCAAGGTTCAAAGCAGCGAGCTCATATCCATGCGAGACCACGGCGTCAGTCACAAAGTCTTTTCAGACTTCTAATTAGAGTTGCTAAACAGGATCATAACAATGTAAGATATTAGCACTTGTTGGAAATCAGTTTTGAGAATAATTTTGTGTTTGTCCAGATAGTTCCTTATCTTCATGTACCACGAGGTCCTGAGGGAAATGTGATGCAAATGCAAGTTGCTGCTGATTGGACGCTGATAAAATACAAAGACTTCTGTGATGGAAAAATGATCTTAATGTAATTTAACCAGTCTCATTTTTCTTTGGGACATTTAAAACACTCACAGATGATGATTATCTATGAAACATACAAACTATACATGTACCCTTAAAACTCAACCTTCTTTATTTAGTTATTTTATTTATAGCCCGGCTCATAGCGCTTTTCAACCGAACAGCGTAGCATGACACGGCTCGGACAAATCCGAAGTCTGTGTGTCTATTTTTCATTACATAACACTGTGCGTAAATAAAGAAGGGTCTTTAAGAAGGGTTGTCGTGTGGTGACCAGTGATAGGCACAAGAAGTAAAATACTACTCAAAATTAAAAAAAAAAAATGAATTAAACTAGGCATATCTCATTTTATGCTATCATGTGACATGTGCCTCCATAACAGGCTAAACCGTTTAGCATGAGACACAGCGAATGCATACAAACAAGGTCAAGGGTGCCAATACTTAAAAAAACCCAGTGTGTGCCGGGTTTATCAGATGATTTTAAAAATGCAATAAAAACATGATGCATTCCTATGGCTGAATCTGGAACAGTGTGCATGTAGGGCACTATTTCAGTGCCCTTATGTTGTACCCTATGTAGTGAGCCCACAAAGTGAATGCGAAGCCGTTCTGGATTCTGGATGATTTGAAGATGGACGATTTAACTTGGATCACAGGGACGTAATGTAAAATCAAGCTAAATAGTGAAATTTAAAAAACTGTTGTAATGTTCACTGTATCATGTTGTCATGTTGCTTTAAAAATGAGGAAAAACAATTTAGCAGACAACCGTGCTGAAAATCAGTGTCGTACTGCCCGTTAGAAAAAAAACGTTCTATCCAGAGACTCATTTCTAGCTCCACCCATCAGTCCTGGCTCGGATCTCGTGGTACCTGGATGAGAAAGGTAACCAAATTCCAAAGCGGCAGTAGAAATCGAGACACCGTTAATCATGGGATCTTGGTTAATTTGCCGAGCCAAGCTGTACCACAATGTTTGGTGGAAAAGCGCTATAACATCCTATCTAGTCCATGTTACACGGTTCGACTCCAATTTATCACAGGGTAGAAAGATCCAACACTTAAAGGAGCAGTTTGTTATTTCTCTGCTGGCTGAATTTCAACTGCAGTGACCATTACAAATATGGACATGTCTTCCATTTTCCCACCTCGTTTTAAGAAAAAAGAGTAAAGTTGAGACAAGTAGCTGTGCCCTGGACGGGACACAGGGTTATTTCTGGGTCAGAAAAATCTAAACCGAATCCCTAAAAAAGATTGTAATGAAATCCACTGCATGACAACTTTGAAAATCATAGTTTTTTAATGTATCTTTGAAATTATATGATTATAATACTATATGGTCTAGAAACACTTTTAAACCTAACAAAAGGAGCTAAGTGTTTTGAAAAACCATAATGTGTGCCCAATACTGCATTATAATAAAAGTACCACTTCAAACCAACATCTTTTTCCATGAATTTTCCTCAGCGTCATTAATTAATTAGTCATCGCTGCTGTGTGCCAGACAGCGGAGCTTTAGTCTAATAGAGCTTTCATTTACTGGAGCCGGGTTTGACCTTGCACACTGCCGCGTCTGACTTTGATTGATCTGCGTTTGGTTCGCTGACAAGATGGAGTAGAGGTGCTCTGTTTCTCTGCCGTCTCTCTCTTAGGACTCTCCAGTGGAGTGTGGTGAAGTGTTTCTCCCTGGGCAGGATGGCTGTGCTGCGTCAGCGTACCTCAGAACTCCTCGCTCACTGATTTGGACCTTTCGGAGTGTGTGTGTGTGTGTGCGATCCCTGAGCTGTGATAAATCTATCTGAGCCGCAGTGTGTTGCACACTGAGCTCCAGGATCGCAGGGGACTTCGGGCCGTGCTGCAGCTCAAAGTCTCATTACGGAGGTCTGGATACTGCAGGATGCCACACCGCTCTCTGGGGAATATCAGCGGGGGTATTTTAGGCTTGCAAGCATCTGCTGTTTGACACGGAGCATCGTGAGCTAGTGGTGCAGGGAAACTGATGAGTATACAGGTATATATGGGTATGGGTGTGCATGTGTATGTGTGTGTGGGTGTGCATATGTATGTATGTGTGTGTGTGTGTGTGTGTGTGTGTGCCAAACCGAATCTTACGCAAAAATAAAAAAATGGAATGAGCGAGAGCCAATATTAGGGTTCATATGCCAGAAAAACTGGAGTAGAATGCCTAAACTAGCGCACTCCAACAGGACATTGGTGATTTATGCTTTATTACATTTAACAATGTGAACGTGATGTTGCTTTTGTGAGTACGCTATTAACCAAAACTTATTATAACTCATAAGCTAAACACTGTTTCATGTTTTGGCAACCTGATGAGAAAAAAAACAAAATTCACACTGTGCTTATTGCTTCACTCAGCATTGGCTGAAACTCATGTTTACACTGATCTGTAACAGGAAGACTGGTTTCTAGCCATTTTATATGTTATTAAGCTTCCTTCCCAAAAGTTACATTTGTTTTTATTTTTCCTTATACTTGTTTACGCCTCTACAAGTATCTTGATGTTGACCCAAGACCCTAGCCCACTCTTTCAGTTGCACAATTCACCTAGAGTTCATTCTTGTGCTTATTTTAATCCCACACATTTCCCTATCAGATTGAGGTTTGGTGGTTTTGCAGGTCAGTCGAAGTGTCAGAGTTTCATCAGGCACACACAGATTCAGCTCGATGTACCCTGCAGTCGTCATCCTGGAATGTGGGAGTGTCAGTGTTGTGTTCGTGTTGGACGTGAAGCACAAAAAGGTAACATCAGAGTCTAACCAGCAACATTACATTCTAAACTAGTGATGTGTAAGGCTTAAAAATCATATTGTGTGATGAAGCACAATTAATGATACCTACGCAAATCTCAGGTGTTTTATTTGTCTTACTCTACCTCAATTTGCCAACGATTACATTTAAAAAAAAAAATTAAATAACAACGTCATACTTTTTATCCATTTATTGTTACATTTAATGTTGTGGAATGTCTACATGACAAATTAGTTCCTATTCTCACTTACGTTATAGCAGCGTCCCACGGCAGCACCTCTTTTTTTCTCTCTTGAAGTTAATAAGACCAAAAAAATTCTGCTGTATGTATATATGTATATACTGTATATACAGTACTGTGCAAAAGTCTTAGGCACCCTATTTTTTTTTAGTACAAACTTTCTTATAGATTTTTATTTTATGACTTCTACATTATTGATTCAGTACAAAAACATTTTAGATTCTAAACATTAGTTTTCCAGCACAAAATTAAATGTTT